ACAACTAGGGCGAGAAAGGTCCTCCAATGGGGCAAAATTCACTTAAATGTCTCACTTAACAACAGAGATATTGGGCTCCACTGTAGTCATAAGTCAAGGACTACCTGTAATATAGCTCCAAGCCCTGAAGAGTACAAAGCTTCCATTCTCATTGATCTGAGCTATGCTCCTGGAACAAATGCAACCACAAACCATCAAACTTAGTTTGATGTTTGTTTGAGGTGGCTAACTAGTTTGAAAGCAAACCCCACCTGCTCATCTTTTACTCTCCTATCAATGTATTCTCATTGTCTTTTTCATTGTTTATTGTTCCACTACTTTGCTGTTATGTTTACACTTTTCAATCAGTCTCCGTGTTTATTGTGAAGTTGACCATAGCAAGATAAGCAGCAAATAAATTTAACAAATAACTTTTAGGCTAGCTAGTCACTTGTGTAAACCTGGGACTATCATTAGTTTAAGGTTTGGATTCTCATTGCAGATAACTGGGCAGAAGAAATTGGGGAGCGAAGCACAGATACCTGTAAGTTGTGTCAGGCAAACACAGCCTTAAGATAGTGTAGGTCTTGGAAGGAGGGAGAGAGAAGAGATTAATTCCAGTGAGAAAACTAGAAAAGAAAAGAAAAAGTCTGGACTAATAAAACAGGTGCTTCACAAAAAGCCATTCTTGCTACTTTGGTGTCAGGATTGGCTGCATACACCTAAGCCAGCCCTTCTTAAAACTGAGCTATCCCCATTACCACTTTTCCTGGTCTCTAGTGATGTCATTAGTCCCGCAAAAAAACCCAGACTGTGGCTTTAGGCAAGATCCCAGATGGATCCTGGATTGACAAACAAACAACTTCCAATTGCTGCATTACTCCCAGGATACAAGGGGTTGGACTACTAGGGAATGGAAACGAGAGAAGCAACCTAGAACTAAGGAGAAATTTCCTAAAACAGTGAGAACAATTAACCAGTGGAACGGCTTGCCTTCAGATGTTGCGGGGGCTCCATCACTGGAGGCTTTTAAGAAGAGACTGGACAGCCACCTGTCTGGAATGGCATAGGGTTTCCTGCCTGAGCAGGGGGTTGGACTAGATGACCTCCAAGGTCCCTTCCCACTCTGTTATTGTGTTAAGACCTCCGAGGTCCTTTTCCAGTCCTGATTCTCTCTTCCATGGTCGCCCCAATGACCCCGCCCCAATTTAAGAGTCACTGACCTAAAGCTACTAATTACTGGCGCTTTAATTAATTACTGGCTGTGAATCGGGGCGGCAAAAGTCGGGGGCGGACCGTTCTGTACCTCCGCCGGTGGGCAGCTCGGCTCCTCCAACACGCTGGGCTACAACTTGGGTTCCCACAACGCCCTGACCCGCAATGGAGGCTGGGGGAGCGACCCCCCTTCCAAGGAAGAGCCACCTGGCGCTCTACCTGCCGGAGAAACGCCCCGACCGCTCGCTAACAGTCGCCGGCGTCTACCTGTTTCAAATGCCAACGCTCCTCGGGACATCCAATCGGATACCGGGAGTGACTCTTAGCCAGAAGGGAGCCAATCCCAGCCCGGCTGGGCGAGTTCCTCTCCCGCAAGTGGAGAGAAGAGGCGGGACGCAGCGGAGTTTCAGCCAATCGGCGGCCTCGGTGGGAGAAAAAAAACCCGCGCTTCGGAAAGTCAAGGCCGGCCACGTGCTCTTGGCCACCTTTGCAGGTGCTTCCTTTCACAGCTGTCCGGGCGCGTGGCCTTATGGGAAATGGAGTCCCATCTGGGCTACCTGTTCAAATAGGTTCCCCGTCTAAGTCAGAGTCTCTCAGACTTGGTAGCCTTAAGATGGATGGACTTCCAACTGCCAGAATGTGTACTTTCGAAGCGCTGATGTATCTAACCACACTTGGGCTAAATACAGTATTTTATTCTCTTCTGTTTTAGTCTCATACTCACCACTTAATTCTGTGTTGTTTTTTAAATGAACTTTTGTGCTTGCGTCGCTGTTTATTTTACAAAAGCTTAATCAGCTAAAAAGCTATCGTGTTAAAATTTACATGAAGATTTTTTGTAAATTTGCTTTAATTAAAATGTGTTTCATGGGTTGGCATTTTTTTAATACAAACGGACCAAATTCTCATTTCTGCAGAGCATAATCCCCACCCCCTATTTATCAGTGACAAACTATTATTGGAAATTGGAAAATGGAGGGTGGTAGCAGCTTTTCCAACTAACAAGTTTTATTAAAAGGCATAAGCTTTTGTGAGCCACAGCTCCCTTTATCAAAGTCATTCTACAGTATACATCTAATGATGTGAGCTGTACAAAAGCTTATGCCTTTTAATAAAAGTTAGTTGTTTGAAAAACCTGCTATCACATTCCTGGTTTTTTGTTTTTACAACTGCAGATTTAACACAGTTCTCCTACACTGTCTTATTGGAAATTTGTATTCCATTGCTACTGATCAGCAATATTTAGATTTAGCTTCTTTTAGAAAGTTGTGAGCAAGTCTAGCATTACTGCCAGAGTGATATGAAATATCCCTCTAACCATACTTTGAGCATCGGTAGACGTGTGAATGTTAACAAAACGCAGTATTTTAATCAATTTTACTTTATAGAATTATAAGATTCCATCCTTGTTTTATTTTATAGAATATAAGATGTAATTATTAAACAGCCATGGCAGTTTTTTAACCTTATCTTTACCCCCATGAAATCATTGGCTTTATTAAGGGGTGGGGACAGATCACATAAAATCATATCTGCTTTTATGGTTTGCATGACGTTGGCAAATATTAGCAGACATTATCAAACCATATTTAAGATGAAAATCAAAATAAACTGACAATAGCAGACAAAAGGAGTACAACTATACAATAATTAGAAACACGATATCTTTGACCAAACTGCTATCTTGTATACATTCCCCAAAAAAGAAGCAAATTAGAAATTGATTTGTTCAATTATTATGACCGCCCACCTCAGTCAATAATCATATATAATAAAGAAATTGGTTGCTCTTACCCAAAACAGCCACTTTGTTCCTAATGACATGTATAGAAAAAAAGTCATGTAACCACAGTTTGAAAACGTTTGCCTTTTCCTCGAAGAGAACCAAATTAAACAAAACTCCAAAGTTCAGTTAGCTGCCTTAAACAGGGATTTAAGTTTTTTTCTATAGCGCAAGCATGGCTGAAACGGTACAAGTACCCCTATAAGACAAAATATGGAAGAAAATGTAAAATTGACCAGATATACCAGAACATCTAAGTGTAATCCTACAGCATCCTTGTGAGTAGACTCAGTAACTGCCGTATAATTAACAGTTAACTGAATGGTCATTCCAGAATGAAAAGGACCAACTATGACAGTTCATCGGAATATTCTTTATTGGAATATTCTTTACTGGCCAAGTGTGATTGGACACACAGAGAATTTGTCTCTGGTGCATAAACTCTCAGTGTACATACATACAAACAACAAAATGATAAATCATCAATCATAAGATTCAATAATCATTCATAAGATACAAACAAGTGATAAATCATAAGATACCAATAGGAGAAGGTAGTAGGAAAGATGAGAAGGATAATGCAATACAGCCCTACTAGATGGGTAAATATTTTTAGGCCTAAGACAGTGCTGTGGGAATTAGGTATTTAGTAGAGTGATGGCATGGGGGGGGGGGAAAATGTCTTTATGTCTAGTTGTTTTGGCATGCAATGCCCTGTAGTAGCGTCCTGAGGGGAGAATTGAAAGTTTGTGTCCAGGATGTGAGGGGTCTGTAGATGTTTTCTCAGCGCTGTTTCTGGCTCGTGCAGTATACAGGTCCTTTATGGAAGATAGGTTGGTAGCAATTATTTCTGCGGTTCTAAGTATCCGAAGTATCCGTTGAAGTCTGCGTCTGTCCTGTTTGGTTGCTGTGCCATACCAGACTGTTATAGAGGTACAAAATGGAAGACTCAATAATTCTTCTGTAGAACTGTGTTAGCAACTCCTTGGGCAGTCTGAGCTTTCTGAGATATACAGTATATAATGGCTGGGAGAAGACATGAGAAAGGTGGGGTTATTTGCCTTTGTGTACATCAGTCAATCAGAATAGAGCTGGAAGAGATCTTGGAGGTCTTCTAATCCAACCCCTTTCTCAAGCAAGAAACTCTAGTCTACACCATTCCAGACAATCCCTTTTCAAAATCTTCCAGTGATGGAGCACCCAGAACTTCTGGAGGCAAGCCGTTCCACTGATTAATTGTTCTCACCGTCAGGAAATTCATTCGGGCTTGTTTCTTTAACACTTGCAACACTCCACACTTGCCCCAACAGGCCCTTTTGTTTACTTTCTGAATAGGCTAGCTTTTGCACATTAACAGAAATAGTTTTGGCTAAAAAGGAAAACATGGTGGTGTTTTTTTTTAAACTTAAGAAGGAGCCACGGATGTCATGCTAAAACGCTAACCCCCCCTTTATTAAAAAAAAGCTTTTTTTTTTCCCTTCTCCTTTCGCTCAGTCGTGTCCCATTCTCCAAAATCCTTGCAATTTTGCAGGTAACATTTCTTGAGGAAACCATAGCACAGTGTTTCTCAACCTTGACCGTTTTACGGCATGTGGACTTCAACTCCCAGAATTCCGCAGCCAGCAATGCTGGCTGTGGAATTCTGGGAGTTGAAGTCCACATGCCTTAAAATGGTCAAGGTTGAGAAACACTGCAGAAAACGAGGCTAAAGGAAAGAAAACGGAGAATAATCCGGGCGGGGGACCGAGGGGGAGGGCTATCCCAATTCAGAGGACCTCCAGAGGACCTCCAGAGGAGCGGGCAGCGCCAACTCTTTGCCCAAATAACGGGCATCTGACTTCGGGCAACCCGAACTCTCCACCTTTTCAAACTTTCCCGCCTTTTCCCAGGGCGCCCCGTGGGCGGGGCCGCCTTGACCACGCCCATCCGCCGTGTGCGGCGGCGCCGCACCGGAAAGGGCCGCGCGGCCATCTTTGGGCGAGAGGCGAGGAGGGGCACGTGACCAGAACTTCCTGCCCCGCAGAGGAGGAAGAGGCGTCTCTGAGGCGGCCGCAGCTTCTGAAGGGTTGTTATGGCGTCAAGGTTACTCCGGGTCTGCGGAGCCTGGCGGGCTCTCCGCGTGGGGCCGGGGCCTCTGGTCGCGGGGTCTCGCGGGGCAAGCACCGGAGGTGAGCTTTTCCCGGGCGGGCGGGCGGGCGGGCGGACGGGCGTTCCCTCCCAGGCTAAGACTACACTTCCCATCGTTCCCACCCGGGATGGGAGTGCCTGGAAGGCACGCGGGGCGGGCGGGCTTCAGGTTGTGCAAAAGGGGGTCTTGCTGAGGCTCCTTTTCGTGATTCAAAGCAAGGCAAAAATTATTACACTGGTTATAAAGGTGATGTGTCATCACAGGACTGTAGACTACCTAAAAATAATAAGAGTTTATGTCCATAAAGTCAAAAGTCTCAAGATAAAATGACACGTCGCCTATATAACGAATAGATAGATATTCCATGGTATTAAATCTATTTAAAAAATGCTAAAAGGTGCACCTTATAGTAAAATGGCAACAGCCACCCTCCATAATAAAAAATAACTGTAAACACCCAGCAATCTCACTGCTGTGCCATAATTACCAAACTATCTGTATTTTCCATCAAAAAGCTGATGGAAATTGCCTAAGGGGAATTTCTGACAAGAGGAGGAATCTTTCAGATTGCCTAATATTGTCCTTCTCTACCCCAGGTATGCCTACTGACGACGAACAGGCCACAGGAATGGAGAGGAAAGTTATGGATACTATAAGGAAAGGAGAGGTGAGCAAAACCAAGCACAGCAACACTTCTTTGAGCAATGAAACAGTTGACCATAAGCAACCTCGCTTCTTTCTTGGAGGGGCAGCGTTTTATCTACCTCGCTTGTCATCACTTACCTTCCAGACGTAATTAAGAGGGTCAGCTATTGAGCCTGCCCAAAGTAACATATCCTCCACCATAGCCCTATACATGAAGACAGATGATTTTGTCGATCAATGATGAACAAGACTTTTGACAGAGAACTCTAGATTGCTTCACAATCCAGTCTAAGCCATCATTCTTGTCTTGAAAGTAGTAGTTGGAAAGATTCAGTTAATCGTGGGCCTGGGGGCCTAGTTCTCCTAATGGCAGAATTGGATAATGAAAAGTTTGAGGATAAAAGTTATCAAAGGAGATTCGCTATCAATAACCTTAGAATTGGGCCTAAGGATGGTGCATTGCTACCTGATTTAAGGGCTTTAACTTTTCTCTCTCTCTCTCTCTCTCTCTCTCTCTCTCTCTCTCTCTGCTGGTTGTAGGATCCTTATGGAGTATATCCAACCAAACCATACGGGGGAACAAAAGACGACCCCCACCTTGTCCCCTCCTTGACAAACGTGAGGCTCGTGGGCTGCATCTGTAAGTGGCTCCTCAAGCGGTGGACTTGTTTCTTGAAGGGTCTGTGGTGCTCTCTGAGTTGGTTGTTTTCTTGCAGACGTTTCATTACCCACAATAGGAAGCATCAGTGCATCAGCGCCGATGATAGCTAACGTGGGTCATGAAACGTCCTCAAGAAAGCAACCAACTCATAGAGCATCAAGGACTCTTCAAATATTCTCCTTTATTGAGACCAGTTTCTTGAACAGTGTTTACCCCAAAAGACCATTGAGGGGAGGCATTTGAAGTCATGGTTGGAGAAAGAAGTATTGTTCTTGATGCAGAAAAAAAACCTCTTTTAAAACAGGGGTGTCAAACTCGCAATGTCACGTGACGTGTCACAACGTATCATGACTTTTTCTCCATTGCCGGCAATGGGGTGGGCGCGGTTTCGCTATGATGCATCCGGCAGTTTGACACCCGTTTTAGAAGGATGGGGAGCTCCCATCTCATTAGCTGAAATTTCTTTAGAAGTGCAAGCCCAGTGACATACAAACAGGGGCGTGCAAAGCATTTGAAGAGGACCCTCCAGGCAGAGTGCTGATGTAAACAAAGCATCTCTCCTCAAAAAGGCCACATCCTCTGGACCAGGGTTGAGGAGGATCTTAAAACCACTTTCCTCTCAGTAGGGTTGGGTCCAGATCCAAGGCAACAAGCTGCTTTGAAGCAAACGGGGCCATCCAGAGCGGTGTTATCCAGATGTGTGGACTTCGACTCTCAGAATTACACTGGCTCGGGAATTCTGGGAGTTGAAGTCCACGTATCTTAAAATGGGTGAGATTAAGACCTAGAGCATTCGTCTGCAAGGCCTCAAAAGCAGTTCCCCCTTACGCCAACATCACGTGACCATAGTTGTAGCCTGATCCCACAGAAAGACACCTTTGGATCAGGAAGTTGCCAAGCACTGTTAACAAAATTCCAAAGGGTTCAGAAGATTGCCCTTTTTTTTTAACTTGAAACAGCTAGGTTTTGCTTATTTGCTGCACATATAAGAGTCTTTGCTTGGGTAGTGTGTAAATTTTCCTAATGCCTCTGTAGCATTGTGATCACCTTGTTTCTGCCCTTTTGTAGGTGAGGAAGATGCCACTGAAACGTACTACTTTTGGCTTCACCAAGATAAGATGGAGCGCTGCCCTTCGTGTGGGGCCCATTTCAAACTGGTTCCCTGCGAGTTGCCGTGAAAGGCTGCAGAACCTGAATTCTTAACTTTTTGGGACACAGACTTGAGCCAGAAATCTGAAATAAGTTATGAGGTCCTGTATTTTCTGCCGTTTAATAAAGTCTTTTGACCCACCATGTAAAACGCGTCGTTTGCGTCCTGTGCTTGCAGTTCAAAATTGCATTGAAATTGAGAACTTTGAATTAAGAAAAATTGGCATTTGCCAGTTTCAAGGCAAGAAGCAGATTTGTTTCCCTGGAATTTTCTTCTGGAATTATGTGTACACGTGGACAGAAATGCTCATACAGAATCTCCCTCTCAGTGAATGTAAATATTAATGGCATTATGTTGGGGTTAGAAGCTTGCAGAAATCCTTTTAAGGGATATACTGGTAACGGGTTGGTAGCCAGCTCTCGGGGGCTCTTGGTATCAAATTTTTGTCCTTTGGCCAATTAACTCTTACCAACAGCCAGAAGCATTCAAGTGGTTTTCAAAGAATGAAAGCAGCACCCTAAATTCCAATCTTTTGAGTCTTGGGACTGCAGACACGAAGCTTGTGTGAGTGTGCAACACTGCCTTTGTCATACTGAGAGAAACATCATTCTGGTAGGGGACAATCGGTTAAGCCTCAGCCATTACTTTATTCTCTAGCATTTAATTCAGTCCTACTATCCTCCCTTAGCATGGAGATTCACTAACCATAGTTATCCATAACTGCATTTCAAAAAAGCACATCTACTAATAAACTGAAATAGTTGCTTTGAGATGTATTTATTGATATATTTGCCTTTCCCCCCTGGTAAATGGGAGTCTTAGATGGTCACACAAACAAATGTGCTTTGTATTTGCTATATATCCAGCCCTAAGTAAACTACTTTCTCATACCCGGTTTTCACATCGCTGCTGAAATATTCCACTGTCACACATGAATTCTAGACACAGCTCACCTGAAGCCAGACTAGCATAAAACCTTTTAAAGTACTTAAAGACAACCTATTTTTTACTTCCTTTCCAAAAGGAACTTCCAACCGAACAGGATATGGTTATCTGCTAGTAAGGGCAGAATAACCAAGAAGAAAAGTGCAATTAGTATATTGGGATAACCCTTTGAAGCTGGAAGGGTTCTTTAAGCCATCAAACATCCAATCTCCTTGTCAGGGTAAGAGTCCAAATTCAACCATCCCTGACAGATGACATTGGTTTTTCTTAAATTTAAATCCATTATTAGATATCCTGCAATCAGGAGTCACATAGGACACCATGGTCCACTTCGATTTTAAGACAAGTGGACTTTATTCTAAAATTTCCCAGCTGACCATGTATGGCTGGCTGGGGAATTCTGAGAGTTGGAAGTCCACACGTCTTAAAAAGCTGCCAAGGTTGAGAAACGCTGTCTAATTTCACACATATTTTTGAAATGACTACATCTGAGCTGACCAGGGTCAACCAAGAAAGAAATGATAGCAGTGAGAATGACCCAGTGTGCAGCAGGTTGTGAACTCCGCTGCAGCATCTGAACAGCCACTACGGCAGGGGTAGGCAACCTTGGCTCTTTTATGCTGGCTCAGGAACTCTGGGAGTTGAAGTCCACGAGTCATAAAAGAGCCAAGGTTGCCTACCCCTGGCACTACGGGAATGAGGATGGAGTAGACAGATTTTAAGATTCAATCTCTTGTGTTCACTGATCTGCAGTACCAGGAACAGCATCACAAAATCCTTGGAGAATCGTTTAATCCAGCAGCTACACACACCCTAATCTCATTTTGTGATTTGCATCAGCACTTCCCATGGCAAAAATCGTGGTTTGGTAAGACTAAGCAATATGGAATAGACTTCTGTTTTGAAAAGAGCCAAGGTTGCTTTCTAAACCCAACCTTTGCAACGCAGGGCTTCCTGGAAGAAGCGCCACCCCAATTCCTGAAAAATTTGAAGGAGTTCTAACGTGCCCCGTGAGCACCGAGCGCCGAAGGGTCTAATCCCAGAAATCTGGAAAAGGCAGTGCTTCTACCACCTAGCGTTACAATCAGGATCACACCTTCTTCCACCGTTAACAGAGCAGCCTCAGACGCACGCCAAGCCACTGGCAGTTAATTTATAATTATTAGTATAATGAATTTACAAAATAAAAATACAGGCAACTGTGTTAAATTATTGTACATTGCAGCCCAAGAAGGTGTCTCACGGGGAAAGGACGGGGGGGGGGGGGGGGGGGGGGGGGGGGGGGGGGGGGGGGGGGGGGGGGGGGGGAGTGGGAAGAAGAGGACACTTCTGCCTCCATTTGGTTTAGTTACTGGAGATAGATAACATGGAGAAGCCGACGTACGTACACATTTTTAAGGGAACAGGGTTTTTTTTTTTCTTTTTAAATAAATTCATTTGCGTACACATTAAAAACGTTGGATGCTTTTTCCAGCCCGAGGCTAAGGCCATGATCTGCAAACACAGCTGAAGCCAAGAGGAAGCTTGTCCTCTTTAAGCTGTTGGGCAGTTTGGATAATTATCGGAAACCTGCCCTCCACCCCCCTCACGCCCCCCTCCCCAGCTAGCAAAACCAGACAGGCTTTCAACTGGGATAGCTTTGAGTAAAACCATTTGAATTCTGGACTCTTGAGCCAATGCTATCCAATTCCCCAGAAAGGCAGTAAGCAAGGGGGCACCGCACAGAGCTGATGGGGGGGGGGGACAGGGTTTGTCCTGCAAAGCCTGGGAAGCAAACCCCACACAGCTGGAGAGTGCCCCATTTGGGAAAGCTGGGCTAAGAGACAGGGGATTGGATAAAGAGCTGGCAGCTTTCATACAGATGAAGATGCCCCCCCTCCCGCAAAGAGATACGGCTATTTGCAATGGACAGCCACAGGATTTGGAGGAGGGGGGGGAGAGCACATCAAGGTATCAAGAGCCAAACCAGACATGGAGGAAAAAACCCCCAACAATATCATGTAGAGGGGGCTCAGGATAGGTTTGTCTATTTCTTAGGTCAGTCTTTAAATGTCCCAGGTCCTGCTTGTTAAACGTCCCCCTCCTCTCCCAGCAGTCGCCCTCCACTCTAGCTCAGGAGAGACCACCAAGGACTCCGGGGCGGGATGGTTCAGCTCCCGCAGCCTACATAACCCTCCAAAGCAGCCCTTTCCCACCTCCTGTTTAGCCTAACCCAGGGGTAGGCAACCTTGGCTCTTTTATGACTCGTGGACTTCAACTCCCAGAATTCCCGAGCTAGCTTGGCTCAGCTTGGAAACCTCTGCCTTTCCCCTCAGCATGGCTGGCTCAGGAATTCTGGGAGCTGAAGTCCACGCGTCATAAAAGAGCCAAGGTGGCCTACCCCTGGCCTAACCAGACTGAGATTTGATTTAAAATATTCTTTCCCGCTACTTGAACCCCTTCAGAAGAACAGGGAAGGAAGAACCGACAGGGATGGTGCTAAGTAGTTGCCATCTCCTCTCTGGCTTGGGGCTTCCAGCTTGGCTTATGCCATCCCTGGAGCTGATCCCAAACTCTCGCCCTCGCCCTATTCCCCAAGAGACATTCAAACACCCCTCTGGACCTGCCTCCTCGTGAGTCTCCTATGTCTTAATGTCAGGAGGGGGGCTGGGCTGGGCTTCCCAAAGGGCTTCCCAAAGGGGAGAAGTGGGGCTCAGGTTGAGGCCCTCGTGGCTCTGCTCTCAGAGACCCCCCGGTTGGTCCTCCGGGTGATGAGAGGACTGGAGCGTCTTTGTGGGCAGGCTGAAGAACGCTCGATATCCCTTCCTTCCCCAGAGATGAGGGGGCCGTGATAAAGTTGACCAGAGGTAGCCAGCAGCTCTAAGGGACCGTCTTCCCTAACAGCTTTCTGACTTTTTTTTTGACAGGAGGCCCGAGCGTTCCTGGTTCCTCCAGAGAGGCAGCGAGGGTGTGGATGTCTAGGAAGATGGAGGTCAGGGTAGCTTCTTGCCAAGAGGGCAGCCTTCCTCCTTGCTTGTAGCCCAAGGCAAGCGCTGGGGCAAAGCAAGAGGGTTGCTCCGGAGGGGATCAGAAGGTGGGAAGGAGCTTCAAAGCCCCCCGCCCCCCAACAAAGGCCTCGAAAGAGAGCAACACCCCCTCCTAGGGAGGTGCATGCTAGCAACATGCATTTAGGGGTAGTAAGAGAGGGAGGGAGGGAAGGAAGGAAGGAAGGAAGGAAGGGGAATTAAGGAAGGAAGGAAGGAAGGAAGGAAGGAAGGAAGGAAGGAAGGAAGGAAGGAAGGAAAGAATTAAGGAAGGAAGGAAGGAAGGAAAAGGAATTAAGGAAGGAAAAGGAATGAAGGAAGGAAGGAAGAGGAATTAAGGAAGGAAGGAAGGAGGAAGGAATTAAGGAGGGAGGGAAAGAAGGAAAGGAAATAAAAGGAAAGGAGGAAGGAAGGAAGGAAGGAAGGAAGGAAGGAAGGAAGGAAGGAAGGAAGGGAGCAGCCCTGGACAAGAAAGGATGACGAGAGAAGAGACACGACCCCAGCTGCTGCTTCCGGCTGCCGCCACCCACCCCTGCCCTAGAAGGTCTTTCGATGAATGGCCCTGGAGCCGTCCTCCTCGTATTCCTTCTTGGAGACCCACATCTTCTTGAACGTGTCCAGCGAGGCCAGAATGGAGCCCCTGGGGGAGAAGGCAGAGGAGAATCAAGGAGCTGCCACATTGCCTTGGTAAAATAACACAGGTGGTCCTCGACTTAACAATCATTCATTTAGTGACCATTTGAAGTTACAACGGCACTGGAAAAAAGCGACTTATGACGGGCTTTCACACCACTATTGCCGCATCCCCAAATTCACATGATCAAAATTCGGACGCAGGTATTTATGACGCTTGCCGTGTCCCGGGAGGGTCACGTGATCCCATAACAACCATGTTATTAACAACACACCAACTGTTTGGCTTAGCAACAGAAATGTTGGGCTCAATTGTGTCACAGGGGAAAGACTACCTGCACGCTGGGTGGGCACAGATTTTGCGAGGGTTTCATGGAAGCGTTGCTGGTGGAAGAATCAATGGCTGGAGCCGGGCGTGGTGCTACACCCAGGGGTCGGCGAGCTACATCTTTCCACAGGGAACCAGCCACCCCCCATTTGAAGCCCCCAGAGCCACCCTCAGCAGAGTCTGGCTTGAAATGTCCTACTTTGTAGGGGAGTTGGGAGTTGAGGGGTATAGAAAAGGTTGGGAACTGCTGACTTAGTAGCACACTGGATTCCCAAACTGGACCTGAACAGGTTTTGCTGAATAATGAAGCACAAGGGCTGAATTTGCAAAGAACACTCAACCGAAACCAAATAAACCACGTTCTTGCTCGGGAAAGCCGAGTTATTATAAAAATGGCTACCCTGGGGCTCCCTCCCCCCCCCCCAGGCTGAGGAAGGGGAACACTCTTACCCAATCCACGTTGAGTACAACCTCTCCTGAGGAGCGGAAATCTGGGAAGAAGGACACAGAAGCATGCTTAGGCCAAGCCCAGAGGCCACCTTCGGCTACACACAACGGTCCTCCCAAACAAGCCGACGACCTCAACACACCCATCGACCCATAGGAAGCCACCCCCAACCAGGCACCGCATCAACACGATGGGAACTGGGATTATTATTATTATTATTTTTTAAAAAAGGTGAGTTTTGCCCACGTGAACGGAATTAGAGCTGGAGTACAGCATTTTCCCATGGATTTACCTTGATCTTGACGTCCTTTGGAGCGAGTTTCTTCACTTCGTTGAGCAGGCGGTCTCCAAAACCTTAGGAGTTGAGAGGCAAGGTAAGACCCTCTTAAAGCACCAGAATAAAAGCTCCCCCCAGAGATGGGGAGGCGCTCAGGTCATTAAAGCCAGGGCCTCTGACCCTGCTGGGTGGAATTCAGGAAAACTGGCTCCCAGCTGTAGTCACGCACACACTTACACACACTTCTCAAAAAGAAAAAGAAAAAAAAAAACCAAGCGGCAATTTTGAAGAGGGCATTTTACTTCCCATTTACAGAATGCCCTTCCCAGTCAATCCTCTATTTTTGCTAAAGGAGTAGCATTCTAGTAGAAAATCCCGCCTGTGCCATTAGACCCACTCTTCTCGTTCTAATTGATCTCCATCTCCTTTCCATTTCTATTCCCTCAAAACACGAGCTTCCTGGTCTAAGATTCCCAGATGCATTGCTCTCCCAATATTTAGATACTCCTTCAATATTTCTGCTCTCTTGGATCTATACCTTGTCTGGGAAAGAAATGAAAACTGCACATCTCCTTCCCGCCAATTTTGGGGAGTGCAGAACTAAACTCCTTTATCCAGATGTTATGGGTGCTCCACCCTTGAAGGCTTTTAAGAAGAGACTGGACAGCCATTCAACTGGAATGGTATAGGCCAGGGGCAGGCAACCTTGGCCTTCATGACTGGTGGACTTCAACTCCCAGAATTCCTGAGCCAGCCACGCTGAGGGGAAAGGGAGAGGTTTCCAAGCTGAGCCAAGCTGGCTCAGGAATTCTGGGAGTTGAAGTCCACGAGTCATGAGGGGGCCATAGTTCCCCCATGCTGGCTCAGGAATTCTGGAAGTTGAAGTCCACGAGTCATAAAAGAGCCAAGGTTGCCTATCCCTGGCATAGGCCCTCCTGCCTGAGCAGGGGGTTGGACTAGAAGACCTCCAAGGTCCCATCCCAACTCTGCTCTTCCGTTATCTATTATTTGCTACAAGCAGAACGTACCTCCTCTCTATCAACTAAATACCTTTAAAGAGTGTGGATCCTCCAGACAGGACAATGTTCCCAAACAGCGTCCGCCTCAGGTCCATGTCGGATTTCTGGATGGCGAATACCAGCACTTCGTGGATCCCTTCGCTTTCATCCCCTATTAGGTCTGGCTGGAAAAGCAGCTCAGGAGCTCGGAACCGGGATGGACCAACCTGTCCCAAAAGCCACGGGGTCAACTCTGCTCCGGCAGGACCGTTTGGTTACAACATTCACAAGCCGGACGAAGGTTCCTCTCTCCTCCACCCCACTTCCTTATACAGCTCACCAAATATAGCTGAATCAACCAGACTCTCTGATGCAGTGGTTCTCAACCTTTTTAATGCCGCGACCCCCAACCGGTCGTAAGTCGAGGACTAAACCGGTCGTAAGTCAAGGACTTTCCCTGCCCGGGAGCGCTGCACATGCGTGGTTCCGCCCCCTGAGCCGGCCAAGGCGTAGCTGGCAAGCGGCAGAGACGGAGCAGGCCGACCACCAGCTGGCCCAGCCCAAGGGAGGTAAGGCACCCACCAGAAAAGGGGGAAAAAATGGCGGACAAAAAAAATGGCGGACAGCCTTGCTTGGCGACCCCCGTGAAATGGTCGATTGACCCCAAATGGGGTCCCGACCCACAGGTTGAGAACCACTGCTCTGATGCATAGCTAGGAACTCAAGAAGCTTTTTTTGAAAATCATGAGAAACCGAGACAGGAAGTTTCAGGGCCCTCGGTGCACATCCCAGGAGCGAGACCCGTTGTTCAGCTCAGGAACTTACATCTAAAGTGCTTCCGTCAGGCAGCGTGTACTGCACCTTCTCTGTCTCTAGGGCTTCATCCTTCTGAGGGTTGATGGACAGGTAGCAAGCTCTCTGTAGGGAGGAAGGAAATATGTGAAGCACCTGAACTGGCCCGGGAAGCCACCAGGTAGAGGAGCTCCTTGGAGGTCCTCCTGGTAGGGTGGGAGGTCAGCTAAGCCTCTCCTCCATCGCTCGACCGCGGCACCGGGCAAGACCTTGGAGCACCTCATGCCCAAAGTCTGTCCCAGGTCTGCCGGGGTTCCTCATCTGCACGTTCCTTTTCAAGCTCGTGCAGCTCTTGACGATCTCAGTCGTGCTTTGTATGCATTTTATTGTCATGTGTCTGATTAACGAACACCACAACACACTGCTTGCTGAAGAAGCCCAGCTCAAAGCGACAAGGCTGCTTTGCGTTCCTCTCGGCATGAGCTACCAAAGCAGCCACTTCACAGGCAAGGTTCTTTGAAGCGTCCGTTGCAGGCTATCCGCTGGCTGAAGGTTTGAAGCTTTGAGACGCGGAAACAGCTTCTGCCTTCTTCGGCGTCTGACGGACACATCAGAGCTGCCGTCGAGCAAGACAAATTGAAAACCACAGTTGCCAGTTTAACGCCGTCTCCAGCTTGAAGCTTGCCAACTGTTCTGTCTCGGTGAGATGCTCAACGCTACATTTGTCAGCACGCCGGGGAGCCCCTGTCCCAACTGCAATGAGGGCAAAGAGCCCCCCCATCACGCGCATATGTATATCCCCTCTCCCTGGACCTTACCTCCTTTATTGTCTTGACCACTTCAAACTCGGCTGAGGTGTGGAAGTCATAGCCCTCTTTCCGTAGCAGCAAGCGGAGGTAGCGGGACACATCCCGCCCGGCAATGTCAACTCGCATAATTGAGTGCGGCATGGCAAAGCCCTCGTAGATGGGCACCGCGTGCGTCACACCATCTCCAGCATCTAGCACGACTCCCGTGGTACGACCCGTGGCATAGCTGGGAAAAAGCAGAGGGAGGTGGGGAGGGCAGTCCCTTAGGCTAAGGAAGGAACACAGTGGACCAGGTCTTAGCCTGACTTAAGTTTCGTTCGGCCTCTGTTATTCCTTCAATTCCTAAAACAAGGCGTTTGCAGTGGCGTTTTTTAAAAAATGGGGCTCGTGTTTTCTACTTTTATTATTTCTCCTCTCTCAGCCAACGTTCTCATTCTACTGGGGGGCTGGAGTCTTGGACCATACAAGTAGCCCTCGCCTAATTGAACCCAACCTTTCTGTTGTTACCGTTATTTCCCCGAAAATAAGACCGGGCCTTATATTAATTTTTGCTCTAAAAGATGTGTTAGGGCTCTGCGCTGTGTTCCATTGTTTGCTGGACCAAGTTCCCTCTTAGATGGTGAAGGAAGGTGACCTATCATTGGGTTCATGTATCGTGGCTCTTCAGAGGCTGGTTCGGAGGAGGAGGAGGAAGAGTTGGACCATCTGACAGAGAAGAAGGACGAGGGGCTGAGGACGATGCTGTCCCGGGCCCCTCAGGCATTGGGGGAGCTGGTCGACCAGACGGAGAGCTGTCTCTCCCTGCATAGACCCAGGGGAGGATCGGCTGCTGCCCGGCAGTGGTGCTGATAGGTGGCCAATCTCCTTTGATGAGGAACAGCTGCCTGCTCCACTCATCCAAGGGCATGGAGAGCAGAAGGGAGGCAAGCCCAGAGAAGGGCTACAAGGCTGCTCTGGAGGAGGTCACCCCACCCCTCCTCAGAAAGAACACCTGGAGGGGAATCACTCAAGGAAAAGCCATGGGGAGTTAGTCTTTGCCAGGAATAATTGTTTGCTTTGGTTTACACTCCCCTGGCTTTGACCCGTGCCTGTTGCAGTTTGCTTTGCCTGGCCTTGAAGACTCCTTCACATTTTGTTTTGGACCTTGCCCTTCTCCGGTGGCTACATTTGGCCTTTGCTTCCCTGGGGCTTTAGAAGTGCTTCTTTTCTGGGACCTCTTTCTTGTCCTGAGGACTGCCCTGGTCTTGTGCCTGGACCCTGCCTGGTGGATGGGACTTGGAAGCCTGGACCTTGCCCTGTTGAGCGTGCTCCTATTCTATGGGCTTTCTTTGTCCTATAAGGGCTGTTGTTTCTACCTTCAAGGTAGCGTGAGGGTGGAGCCTTAGCGGTTGTTGAAGGGTCATTGGCTGGAACTTGGTTGAAGAGCAGGGGTCTTCAAACTTGGCCCTTTGATGACTTCTGGACTTTTGGGACTTCTTCTGCCCAAGCTTCATGTAGCCACTTTCCTGGATCGGGAGGCCTTTCACAGAGACACTGATGCCCTAGTCACCTCCCAACCTGATTACTGAAATATGCTCTACCTGGGGCTGCCCTTGAAGACCACATATAAAGTGACCATGGGAGGCTACAAATGTAGTAGCTGCGATCCAGTTGCCAAACATCAAATGGTGATCAGCTGGCTAGGGGGCTGCGGCAACGGCTGCAAGTTCAAGGACCATTTTTAAATCCCCCTCGTTCAGTGCCATCATAATGTTGGTCGCTGAACCGCTTGTCATAACCCAAGTACTACCTGTATTTTGCTTTTTGTTCTTCATTCTGCATTTTCATTGTTTGTCATACTGTGAGTTGTTGGGTGGCACTTACACTGAATTAAATTTAATTCCCGACCAAGACGTGGGCCCTTTCCAAAAGCTCTGCAATTGAAATCCTTTTCAAGAGAACATACCAAGTCAACCGTCACCGAAGCCCAGAGGTGGAAAGTCACCTCCGATCCAGACAACCTCCACTTCCAGCAACTGGAAACTGACAGACCAAGATCCCAAAGGATTTGTTCAAAAAGCAACTGGACTTTCTTGGTCCAGTTTTCCTTGAAAATGTTTTGCTTCTCCTCCAAGAAGCTGCCTGGATGAGAAGTGAGATGTTTTCAAGGAAAACTGGGCCAAGAAACTCCAGCTGCCTTTTGAACCCCTTTGAGACAACCGCGAGTTGGATGACTGAGAATCTCCGCAGACACTTACAGACTGAGGACGGCTTGCATGGAGATGAAGAGAGCAGGAACATTGAAAGTCTCAAAAAAAACCTCTGCAGCTTTTTCCCGGTTTTTGCTAGGATTTAGGGGGGCCTCTGTCAAGAGAACAGGATGCTGGAAGGAAAATAGAGGGTCTACATCAAGTTTACGAAACCGATTGAATGTTTACAAGCACCTTTTCATGTCAGTCCCTCCATCCAGGCCCTGAAAAATGTTCATGTCCTAATGGTTTGAGTACCAAATGTGATGAGTTTCAAAGCAGTTGAGTACCAAGGTACCACGGTATTGCTGATGGGAAAAATTTGTTCGGTACTCATCGCACCTCCCGGAACCAATAATGATGAGTACCGAGGTATCCCTTACATATATTTTTCTCTCCTGCAACCTCTCCAGCTGGACAATAATTCATATTGCAGTGCAAGACAATTCTCTTGGGGCTTCAGTTCAACCAAAGCTGCATCATTTCTTTTATGCAAAAAAAAAAAAAAAAGGCTTACAGCAGCATGCTGGCTGGGGAATTCTGGGAGTTGAAGTCCACAAGTATTAAAATTGCCAAGGTTGGATAGCCCCGGCCTACAGGACCAATTCTAAAAATACTAGAATGTATAAACAAACACAGCAGGTTACAAACCTCCACCAGTATTGCCATATTACCTCTTCTGAAAATGTCTGCAGCTGGTCTTTGGAATAAACATACTGCCAGATTCTCTCCATGTCGTTCCAGTCCCGGACAATGCCATGCTCCATGGGGTACCGGATGGATAACAACCCTCGGTGTTCCTACAGGAGACAGAGGAGGAATCCTGCTGCAGAGGATGGCACCCAGCAGCCAGAAGATAAATCCTCTTGGGTGGGCAGGACAGACAATGTTCAAAATATATAACCCCTGGTCTAGATGGACGCCACAGAAAAGTTCAAAGCTTGCAAACCGACCAAACCTGTCTAAAAGGCACAGTTTAAAACACAAATGCTCCTATTTGCCTATTCGTGTTGGATAAATCATTGTCCAACTATATGTGTCTTTTGTTCTGTGGCGTAAGTAAAACTCTTAATTAATAAGGAGAAAAATCGAGTCATTTACTATTTCGGGTCGGAAACAGGGTTCAAATTTATTTATTTATTTATTATTTGAATTTACATCCCGCCCTTCTCCTTGCGGACTCAGGGCGGCTGACAATCAATTAAAAACACCACTGACAATCAATTAAAAACACCACTAACAATCACAAGTTAAAATTAATTAAAATGAAATATTTAAATTGTCTAATTAAAAAGTAATTAAAAACCCCTCTAAAAAACCCCTCTTAAAAATTATCCTAGGCCTAGCTGGACCCCTCTGGTTCTGGGACTATACTATCTTTGGTAGCGGAGGGGGTATCCCAGAGGTGCGGTGGGTGGGATTTTACCTCTGCTTTCGGTCCAATGAAGAGATCTCCTTCAAGTGCTCCAGCCATAACCCGGACATGCTTCGGGCGGCCCACACTAGCAAGAAAGAGAGCGATTATCACTCTGCAGATGATCATGTGTCAATCTTACAAGGTAGACCAGACAGAAAACACTAATTGGATGATCTAATTCAACTTTATGGTAAGATTACATTAAGGGAATCTTGCAAATCTGAAAGGACAATTTCCCCAACATTGAGAGCCTCTTCTGAGGCTCTTGACCTGCCCCCCTTCTACTGTGGACTCTGCTGCCTTTTATCCAGCTGTTCCCTTGGCTGTGTCTCTTCGCCCTGTTTCCAGAGATAATTCTTACACACTATTCTACTGGGCGACCCTTTACAATGGCTCATCAACCCTAACCCCACCCAACGCCCCTCTTGTTCCCAACTGTCTCCACCTAACAGCTGATGGAGGCAAGGAGCTTTGGAGCAATACTTACTAGTTTGGGAAGCAGTACTTCGGAATCTGATCTCCAGCGAAGCCAGCTTTAACGACGCCTGAACCCTACATGAAAAAACAACAACAACTCCTCATCCACAGCAAGGCAGAAGACATCTTAGTTCGAAACACACTTGGTAGCAGATTAACGTCTCCCGCTTTTATCAGGTATGCCTCGGAGATCGAGTCTCGGACAAAGCAATTGAGATGTTTAAGCCCCTTGTGTTTATTTCTTCCAGATCTAACTTTCATACAGCTTTAATCCCTTGTTAGCTGTAGTGGCAGAAGACCTACTCTGTACTACAGGCCAATTCTTCATTCAGTCTTTGACAATACAGGTAGTCCTCGTGTCAGCGCTGCTAACATGGAATGTTCTTACTTCGACAACACATGGAGACCCAGCCATTTTCCTTTACTTTATGTTTTACTCTTAGAGTTAGAATGAGATGATACTGGGGGGAGGGGGAAGAATGCGTTTGGGAGTTTAGTTAGACCAGTGGTTCTCAACCTGTGGGTCGGGACCCCATTTGGGGTCGATAGACCATTTCATGGGGGTCACCAAGCAAGGCTGTCCGCCATTTTTTTTGTCCATTTTTTCCCCTTTTCCGGCGGGTGCCTTACCTCCCTTGGGCTGGGCCAGCTGGTGGTCGGCCTGCTCTGTCTCTGCCGCTTGCCAGCTACGCCTTGGCCGGCTCAGGGGGCGGAACCACGCATGCACGGCGCTCCCGGGCAGGGAAAGTCCTCGACTTACGACCGGTTGGGTAGTCCTCGACTTACGACCAGTTTAGTCCTCGACTTACGACCGGTTTAGTCCTCGACTTACGACCGGTTTAGTCCTTGACTTACGACCGGTTGGGGTCGCAGCATTAAAAAGGTTGAGAACCACTGAGTTAGACAGAACAATAATGTATAATGGTGGGAACCAAGGTTGTTTGAAATAAGAGATGATAAGAAATGACAGGTTGAAGAACTGGAGGGAAAGTCTGCATTTCAAACTAATTGGAGAATGTGATTTATGACTGTTAGTCAGAGGAGGGAATTGGGCTTTGATACTATGTGATTAGGGGAGGGGAAGCCAGATTTTGGCTTGGACTATGTGCATGTAGATGTGTTGCTACTCAAATAAAGATTCTTTAAGGTAAACAATGCCTCAAAGTTCTTTGAAGAGTTTCATCTGTCGGAACTATGACACCTCGACTTAAACATTTCATTTCGTGACCGTTCAGAGAGGGCCCGCAACTTGGGAGTCCTCCTGGATCCACGGCTGACATTGGAAGACCATTTGTCGGCCGTGACCAGGGGGGCGTTTTATCAGGTCCGCCTGATCCACCAGTTGCGACCTTTTCTGGACCGGGACGCCTTGCGCACAGTCACTCATGCTCTCGTCACCTCTCGCCTGGACTACTGTAATGCTCTCTACANATTATTATTATTATTATTATTATTATTATTATTATTATTATTATTATTATTATTATTATTATAACGGCACTGAAAAAAGTGACTTGAGGCGGTTTTTCACCCTTACGACGGTTGCAGCCTCCTCGTGGTCACGTGATCAAAATTCAGACTCCTACTTACGACGGCTGCAGTGTCCCAGGGACACGTGATCCCCTTTTGCGAACTTCTGACGAGCAAAATCAATGGGGAGGCCAGATTCATCGAACAACCGTGTTACTAACTTACAGTGATTCATTTAAAAACTGTGGCAAGAAAGGTCGTAAAATGGGGACAAAATTCACCCAACGTATGTTTCCCTTAGCAACCGAAATCTGGGGCTCAGTTGCGGTCGTAAGCCGAGGACTACCCGTGCCACATTAAGCGAGAGTGAGAGAGTGAGAGCAGGGGGAGTCTACTGCTGCTCGTGATCGCAGAAGCCTGCCATCCGTCAGGAAAAACGCTGGCCTGGATCACTGCCCAGGAAAGCAAGAAGCCAGCTTCAAATGCCCATCAAGCAAGCATGGGACCCTTTTGCTGGCTGGGAAAGATCAGGCTGACTCACTGCTGATTCACTCCTACGGAAGATCAAAATCATGACTGCAACTTGGAAGCCGGAGCACATTGAAAGAAAAGAGAATTCACAGTGCTAGAAGTCAAAAGTGAAAATCTATGAGCCCCTTTCAGGCGTAAGATCCACTTACAATCACTTTGCTGGGCTGGTAACAAAAAACGAACCTCTGCTACAGGTAGAGATGGGCCCTTGATCCCCTGAGAGGAACCACCATTTAATAATCCAACACAGGCCTGAGAATCACGGGATCAACTTGGTTGCAAACCTCCCTTATCTCCCCTTTGATGGGGGCAACGGCTTGTCCGTCAGCCTCTGGGAACAGCTATGAAATTGCCCAAAATCTCTCCAGCCAGTTGATAATTATTTCTTTGCAGCATGAATAAGCAAGTCTCTTTTGTAGCCACACCCGTCAGAACTACCCCCAATATACAAAATTAAGAAAGAGAGAGGGATGGGTCAAGTCTAATTTGTTAGCCCCAAGATAATCTGTAAAATTACTTCCATCTTATCCAATATATTTCTTATATTCTTACTATAATTTACAACAAGAGCAAACATGCCTGAAAAGCCTCCAGAAAGAAAAGTGCTAACCAGCAAAGACAAAAAAAAGGGACACATTTTATAAAAGCAACAGTATTCATTAATAAACACACCGTTAAGGTGTGAGTCAATGACCCTTTGTATGATATTTACGTATCGTGACTAGTATGCTATTCTCAACCCTCATTGCGTGGCAAAAGGGATATTATTTGTCTGGGGCTAGAATTTAGAAGTAAGAAATGCCTAACAGCTATGAATAACATTTAATAATAGTCTATAGGAAAAAAAAAACCTCTGGAAACCTCAGAGGGATACTTGTGGCAGAGAATTTTACATTGTTCTCTTCCATCAACTTAGATAGGATTTTTTTCTATTTGGTTTGCAGTCCATTTAAAAGTCCAGACCTAGCAATAAAACACAACAAATGTGATGAATATCAAGTTGTGACAAGTTTGTCACAGATGTGATGAATATCAAGTTGTTGACAAGTTTGTCTTTTCACTTGCAGCACAATAACCACACCACATTCACACATGCTTAGAAGAAAGCTACACCAAATTCAACAGGTCACACTCTCCTACCCATGTGCAGACGTACAATTGCAGCCGGAAACTGAACTATGAATTCAGGAAATCTCTAGTCCAAATTTTACTGCTATTATGAACTCACCAAGTAGTATTCTATTCTATGTGTAAATCACTTATTGAGGCTCACCTGGAAAGGAGCAAAAAAGCATCCACAAGAAAACAGAGGAATTAACCCAAGCCATGGCAATATTTAAGCAACCACTACAGTTAAGAAGACATTCAACACAAGGAAATTAAGCACAGGAAACAGTCCTATCAGGTGGAGCACCAAAGAGCAACTGGGTCAGGGCAACTATTGCTGTCAACAAAAAAAAAAAGTGCAGAGATGGAACAAAATAGTAGGAACCACAATCAACACAGCTGCCTTTCTCTCTCTCTCTCTTGCTTTTCTTATACTATACCTCCAGCCCCACTTTGCTGGATTATCTTTGTGGCTCAGAAAAACCAGAACGTGGCTTGGGCTGGAGATACTCAGGGCTTCCCCAGAACATGCAACTGGCTGCCAAGAAAAACCAGGGAAGCCTTTGGTACTGTCAAGACAAAGAAAGAGGCCCTGAGCCTCTCTGCATCACCAGGAGGCCACCTCTCCTTGGCTGCCATCAAAATCATGACTGCAACTAACAAACTTGGAAGCCGGAGCACATTGAAAGAAAAGAGAATTCACAGTGCTGGAAGTCAAGAGTAAAAATCTATGAGCCCCTTTCAGGCGTAAGATCCACTTACAATCACTTTGCTGGGCTGGTAACAAAAAACGGCCCTCTGCTACAGGTAGAGATGGGCCCTTGATCCCCTGAGAGGAACCACCATTTAATCCATCAAAGGCTGGATTAAACCTTCTCCAGGCAAAGCAAAGGATGGTTCTTAGACTCCTTCCAGATCTGGATGGTTTTACAAAGGTGGAGATAGACCTTACCAAGCAACAATCCATCCTATCCCATGTTTTGAACAGAAATGCCCATGGGGGGCAGGGGGGGTTGGTTGGGAGAGGGATGATAATGATGATGACCTCCCACCTTCCTCAACATCCTTAAACCCCAATAATAACCTCGCTTTCCTAGAGCAACATCATGTAAGATAAGATAACCTTTATTGTCATTTTTTTTTACTGTGGGCACAAGGGCACACATCAAAAATGAAATTTGGTTGCCCGCTCTCCAAG